ATAAATCTCATTGTCTGTACCTCTCACTTGCAAATAATTACGTATTATCTTGCTAAACCACTTACCATGTTGTTTTTTCTACAATTTAATCCTTATGCTATTACTTACATTTGATATGTTTATGCTTTGTTCCTACAAACAGGTTGCAAGCTCCTTGTGAGCAAAGGTCGGACCCACTGCTTCATTGTCTAATAATGTTACTTTGCATTTCCCTGGCACTTTAGAGCTTATAAATCTTTCCACATATATTACTTTATTTGAGCTTCACAATAATTCCGTTGATTTGGAAGAGCTGGTATTATTAGTATCCTAATTTCTCAGATGGGGAAGCCTGGAGTAAGAAATATTCAATGGCTTGCCCAAAGTTACACTCTACCATGTTTTCCACAGAGCAGGGACGTCGGGGATGCTCAGTAAGTATCGTTGATTTATCTGCTCATTAAATCCCAGCTCAATTCCACAGCCAGCCTGATGTTTTAAGCAACGGGATTTGATTTTGGCGAGATGATTGGCTGTAAAGACATCTTGAACTCACCGGCTTCACATGCAATCTCCTGCTTCACCCTAACTGTTTGAAATGCATTTGGCGAATCAGGACAACACAGACAGATGATAAATCAGATTTTTAACATGTGCGCCTCCCCACTATTTCCCCCCAAAGTCAGTTTCAGAGAATCTCTCTGCCGCTTCACCTCTCCTTTTCATGCTGCCTCTATAGACACAGGTGAGGGTAATGAAACTGTGGGTTTTAAAATTCTTCTTTCCAGATGTCATCTATTTAGTTCTTGCAATATTAGTTGGCAGCCCTGTTCGGTTTCAGAAGTGTGAGGAGTACTTGAAACCATATGACAGAACTGTTTTTCTTATGGAACCAAATGTTGAAAAGGCTTTGGTAGTAAAATGGTGCAACAAAGATGGAATTCATAAAGATGGATTTTAGACCTCTTCTATTTCCAGGAGTCTGTCAACCTGGGAAGGGCAAAGTACAAGTACTTTTTAACATCTTCTGTGAGTATAGGGCCCTTTTCTGCCCAAGTCTGTGTGGCATGAAGGGAATCAAAGCTTGGGTCAATTAGCTGCTCCTTCCTGCCTCCATCTCTCTCTCCCTGCTCCTACCCTCTCTGCATCCCATTCTGTCCTCAGTGTATTTAGACTGAAGTAAAGTTTTCAATTTGTCTGAATTACCTGAAAAGTTGTAAGGATAAATGAGGTGTGAAAGCACTTTGAAAGTAGAGAATTGCTTTGAAGAATCCAAACCCAAACAGAACCCTCTGTACCCTATAATCCAAGAAGAAAGAAGACGATGACAGTGATGAAAACGAAATTCGGAATGAGGTAAAAGAGAACTGGACTTCGAGAGTGTGTCCCTGGGTCAAAGGCAGCTGCAGTACAGAAGGAAATGCAATGGAGTTAGGAGATTTGAAGCCCACTGTCACTTGCTGGTGGTGTAACTGGGGATGATCCATCAGATCTCTTTGAGTGTGTTTCCTTATCGGTAAAATGGTGATAATAATGCTTGTCTTATAGGGTGTCTGTGAAGAGCAAATGAGATAAACCACAGGGAAAAGCTTTGTAAATTGAAAGGAGCTATACAAAGGTAAGGGATTACGGTTATTATTTAGAATGGTATCTTAGGCCTTTGACATGTGCATTTATGGAAGTGTATTGTGGTTTTTAATGTTCCCAAGGATGGTTGAGCCACCAAAGTATCTGCAATAATTGAGCAAAGACTCAGTTATGACCATTAGTTACTGATTTAGGAAGTGAATTAATGCCCTTGAGAAACCATGCCCCACCACTCCCCAAGAGACCCCTTGCTCTTGCTAGGAAGATCTCTTCCACAGCCCAGACATGCCCTGGCTTCCTTCCTGCCTCTGTGCTTTTGTCCGTCTAGTTCTTCAGCCTGAGGGTGGGTGGTGGAGCAGAGAGGTCCTCCTTTCATTGTCTATTATAATCCTGTCCATGCTGCAAGGCTCCCTTTTGTCTTCTGTGAAGACTTTTCTTGAGCTCCCTGGGAAAAATTACTTCTCCTTCTGCAAGTATTCTGCAGAACCTCATGTGCCCATTGCCTGGCACTGAGGCTGCCTGACACATGTTTGTCTCACTAAATGGTAGTGGTTTGGATCCTCTGCAAGGTGCCTGGTCTGGGCTGGACAACAATAGCCTGCACAGCCCTGAATCAAGTGGGTAGTAGAAATTCAGAAAATAATTGTTGACTGATTATTTGATTCTCAGCAAAGAGATTCAGAAAGGGATTCTTAATTAAGCTGTAGTTTGTCACAACATTAAATCCACCAAAGCATTTCATTTCTCTGTGCATTCTGGCTACTCGAGGTCTCACAGTACAAGCCATCATTAATTTTAGTTTTTTATTTCTATGGGTATTTTGTTTCTCATTTTAAAAGTAGCACGTGCCCAACTTTAAAGATTTGGAAACTATAAAAAATTTAAAGAAGAAAATAATAGTAATTCAATATTGAGATACTGTGTTCTATTTTTATTGGGTATGTAATTTTTGAGATTACATTTTAACGTATTATTTTATGACATTTTTCACTTAATAGAACATCAGAGGCACTTTCCATCTCATTAAAAATTCTGAAAAAATATATTTTTAGTGACTACATAATGTCCCATCATACGGATACACCATAATTACTAAACCATTACCTTGTGTTGGTCATTTGATTGGATCCAATTTTCTTTTATTATAAATAATTTGTACATGAATATCTTCATTTAAAAAAATCTTTGCATTACAGATCTGTCCTTAGGATATATTAATAGAAGAGGAATCACCAAGGTACAAACATTTTTAAGCATTTGGGTACATTTTTCCCAAATTTATTTCCAGAAAGATTGTAACAATTAAATGTATTTTCGTTAATGGGTATTAGGGTGCTCATTTCATTGTATTCACTCTATATTTTGTAACAAACTATTTGGCTGACTTTGTTTTTTAGAGAAGGTGATTTTGGATCAACCTTATTTTAACACATACTTATTCAACGTTAAAAAATTTTTTCTGGAAGGTTTTCTTTTGGTGAAATTATGGATGCTCCCTTCTGAGTTGATGACCTAGTGCCACTAATATAATCCTGATGAGTGTGACATTAACTTTAAATGGTACAAACCATAGAGTGGTACACAAGTGCGAGCTAGTGTTGTTGTTGCTATTATTTCCCAAGAAACAATAAAATGTAGGCAACTGGCATATCTAAGATGTCTACTACAACAATTTAGGAAGGAAATAGTCTTCTGTAGACACAGTAATATAAGGAAGTATAATAAGATTGAAGAATAAATCAAGCATATATTAAAAATGGAAGAGGAGATCTGGGCCCATTGTGTTACTATATTATCAATGTTTTTCCTGTGAGGTGAATGAAAAACTCAAAACTAAGGGGGTGTGTGTGTGTATACATATATATTATGTGTATATGTATACATTTATTATTATTATTTGACTTTCTTTTAAAGCTTCTACATCATTATTTTTTTCCCCAAGTAGTCATGGGACAAATGCTTTCAGAATGAATATCTTCATGGAAATAAATGTCTTGAAAGGAAAAATTACTTAATTTATATGACAAAACCCATTGGAAGTGATCATAACAGCAATGTGGAACCATAGTCATTAAGAGCTTAAAGGGATTAGAGACAAGGAAGTCTAACCCTATTTTTTATAGAAGAGGAAACTGAAGTCCATTGAAGTTAAAATAATTCATCTAAGGCAAGATAGCTGAGTGGTGCCAGAAATGGGTCTCAAATCCAGGTCTCCTTGTTTCTGATGTAGTACATTTTCTACAAAAACACTCTGTCTCTCAAAAAGTAATTTCGTTAGATGGTATTGCACAGAGATTTGTGAACTCTTCTTTATATCTGTCAACTCAAGACCTTTTGCTACGTGTGTGAAATGGAACACCCTTTATTCTATTATATACAAAGACGTCACAGAGGAGCCAGTCAGTTGATTAAGGAAGCACCAAAACAATATACAGGGGGACAATCCTCCACTGGCCCCCAAGAACTTCATGGTGTACCCCAATAGACATTTTCCCACCTATAATTCTGTGCTGTCATTTGAGACTGGTCAGAGTGAAGTCACTGTGAATCACTGAGCTTTGTTCTATCTAATACAACTAACACCTCCCAACTCCAAATGCATCTTGTGTGAATGTTACATGTAAGGACAGAGATTTCGGATAAAAAGGTTATGGATTCACATGGAAAGAACATTAGGCATTAGCGGGCTTCTCTCCAGGCAAATATTTGGACTGAATGGCCAAAAGGATGAGACTGTTTCCTGGAGCAAAATGAAGAAGAGGATTAAAACAATTCCTGTGATTTGGGGATGAGGGTGTTGGGTAGTTAACAAAGAAGCAACATGAGGGGCTGGCCCCATGGTGCAGTGGTTCAGTGCGCACGTTCCGCTTCTCTGTGGCCCGGGGTTTGCCGGTTTGGATCCTGGGTGAGGACATGGCACCGCTCATCAGGCCATGCTGAGGTGGTGTCCCACATATAAAGTAGAGGAAGATGGGCACGGATGTTAGCCCATCTTCCTCAGCAAAAAGAGGAGGATTGGCAGTAGTTAGCTCAGGGCTAATCTTCCTCCAAAAAAAAAAAAAAAAAAAGCAATATGAGGGTTTTGGGGTTTTTTTGGCCTCAAATAATCAACACTGGTCAACTTCACCAGATTCTTGTTCAGTTTTTATTTTCAAATATCTATGTCAAAATTTTCCTTAGTAAAGTTAAGTAGACGAAAGCAGACATGCAATATTTCCCAGTCCCTGTCCCCAGTCCTGCCTCTCAGATCCATTGCCCCAGTTTATCTGGATAAGTTTATATCTCGAGTCTTCCTGGTGGAGACCTGGCCTTTGTTGATTTTCCATCCAAAGGGAGGGAGGGCAAAGAGGCCACCAAAAGCTAATATTTTCCTTCCGTATGACTAGTCTAATTTAATTCCTGATTGCCATCCTCTCTTCCATCTCCATTTTTAGGCTAACCAATCAGAAGGCCATCTTCCCCTCAGCTTCCTGCTTATCCAGACTCTGGAAGAATTACTCAAGTCCTAACTTCCTTTTCATTACACTTCTTAGGAGTACAAGGTAATAAATCAACTGGGCAAGGACAGATACGCAAAAGCAATATTTAAAATGAGTTATGATGTAAAAGAGATGACTTGCTATTATGTTTTATCAAAGGCAGCCACTAACAAGCATAATGTAATTCACAATGCTTAAGCAGGGTGACTTTAATTGCAACAGTCATTAAGCTCACAGGATCATTAAATGTATTAAAGGAGGGAGCCAGTGTGCCATCGTGAATGAAATAAGGCCCCTCATTCACCCCACTTCACCTATTTAACTGGAATTGAACTTAGTCTGGGTCTCTGAGATGTCACAACCCTTGACTTCCTCTCCTCCTTTCTCTAGCAAGTCACTGTGACTATTTGAGAACAGCTCAAACACTGAAGCATTTAAGAGGAAAGAAAGGCAGACAGAGGTATTGTCAAACTACAGTTTAAATTGACTAGTAGATTAAATTTTGCCTATTACAGTTTTATAGCACTTTAAAGTTTAAAGTCTAGCCACTTATCTCTTTTTGATAAGCTTATTATCTTCAGAAGCCTACATAAAAAAAGAACTACCAGTAGACAAAAACTTCTGTTTCCCCAGTAATTACAGAAACGTAAATGGAAACTTATCAAATTGGTAAAAAATAGAAACAAAATGATTGTTCCTATCAATGGAAAGTATAACAAAGTAGGTACTCTCTTATTGAGTACCTGCTGGGACTTTAAACAATAATAAAAATTTCTGGAAAATGATTTGGTACTCTCTACCAAAAACCTTAGAAAAGTATTCATAAATGCTGAGCTAGAACTTCCATATCTAGGAAATTATCATTAAAAACTGTTAAGATTTAGCTATAAGAATAAGTGTAAAAGGAAATTGGACATACCCTAAATATCCCACAATAAGAGATTGGTTAAATTAGGTAACAGAGAGACAATGAACGAATACTATACATTTATTTAAAGTGATGTTTTAGAAGTGTATTTATTGAGAAGAAAAAGATGTTAATGACATAAAGTGATGAAATATGGACCACAAAACTTTATAAATGGCATGGACCCATATTTGTAAAAAAATGCTTTTTAATGCATAGCTACCCTTAGATAGAAAAGAGTGGAGATTTATGTTCTGGTCTTGTCTTTTCTCCTCAACTTTGTCTTTCACCATTCATACCCTTTTAACGTACTGTTCTGACATATCAGAATTTTTTCAGTTTTTTCCATGCAAATGCTCTTTTTCTCTCTTTTTCTCCTGGGCCTTCTAGAGTACTATTCCCAACTTTTAGAACGTTATCTCTTCTGTCCTCCCTTTCGCACAACCACCTCCAGCTTGGCCCAGGTCTCAGGTTAAATCTTTTCTACTCCAGAAATTCTTTCTTGACCTCTCAAGTCTGTGTTGAGTTCTCCTTCAGTGTGCTCCTATTCTGTAGCATGCCTCTAGTATCATTGTAAATACCTGTTTACTTGTTTGTATCATCTGTTCTTTCTGTGAGAACAGAGACTGTATGTAGATTCTTACGGCACTGTGTGGGGTCTCTTCTCTCCAAGATGGCTACCATCAAGTCTTTCCCTCCCTGTAGCTGCATGCTACCCCCCTGTGGATAGGTGGAGTCTATTTCTCCCCTCACCTTGAACCTGGGTTGGCCTTAATGGCTCACTTTGACCAGTAAAATGTGGCAGAAGTAATGTTCAGGGACTTCTAAGGCTTCTACTTGGGTTTCTTGAAACCCTTGCTATGGTGAAGTTGGTCATCATGTAAGGAATATGACTACTGTGAGACAACCATGCTGTGAGAAATCCAAGCTAAGTGGAGAAGCCCCAGAGAATGAGACATAGTGTGGAGGGAGGGAGGGAGGCGGGGGAGAGAGAGACAGAGACAGAGACAGAGACAGAGAGACAGAGAGTGGACAAAGGGCATTGAAGTTCTAGACATGCGAGTGAAGATACGATCTTGGAAGTGAACCCTCCAGCCCACCAGCTAGCAAATGCCAAGTGCATCCAGCTGAGCCATTCCCAAATTCTTGACCCACAAAATCATACACACAATTAAATGGTTGTTTAAGTAACTAAGTTTTGAGGTAGTGACAGACAACTGTAACATCAGTCTGGCAAGTAGTGAGCCTTTAGTAAATATCTGTTAAAAAATGCGTAATGGGAGTTATACTTCATTTTTTTACCTTTTTTCCAAGTTACTTTCTGATTTCTCTGTAATATGTAAAAGAAGACACTCCAAAAAAATTTTTTTTAAAATAAAAAATAGAGGTTCTAGGAAAGCTAAAAACGAAAACGACATGAGAGATGACAGATTATGGCCAATTGACCAGAAAGTCTCTTTGATTTAACCCACTTCTGTAGAAATGTCCTCAATTCTTTTTGGAAGGGTGTCTTCTCCATGATGGCCTCTTTCTCACTAGAGAAATGACTAGTTATCGAAAAGCTAATACCATGACAGAGGGAAATAGAAGCATAGCAGTGGATTTCTAACCTCTCTGTTTCTAAAACCTTAACTGATCACAGGCAACTTCCACTAGTACAGCTTTACCTTCTCTGAGCTAGTCATTCCCTGTTAGGGAAGAAAAAATATTATGGCTCCTCTTCCCTCTTACAGAACAGTCTTGGGTTCTTAAGGTTAAGAGCATGAAAGGCCCTTGTTTTTCTTCTGATGGAGTTTCTAGGAGTTGGGAGGAAACCACCTATTGGCTCATTCTGATGTGGCAGAGGATGGGGACATCGTACCAACATCCTTCACGTGAGAATTTCTTTCCAGTCTGGGCCACATCTAAGTTTTGGTTACGGAGCCTAGGGAGGGCAATTGCTGTCAGTGGCATTTCTAAACCAGTTGAAGCATCTGTGTCTAGGACGAATTAGGTGTCCTGGATGGACGGAGTGAAATGCTCTTTTGTGACAAGTGGAGGATTAACTAGATGATTTCTGCCAACACTTTTAGCCCAAGAATTCTATGGCATCATGGATTTCCCCTTGGAGAGCTGAGTGCATTGAGGATCCTTCCAACCCTACCATTTAAGATCCCATTATTCTACAGACATGTCCACGCATTCTAGATTTTCTTCTGACACCAAAGCAAAACAAATGGTGGATAAGTGAATTCACGAATGGATAAATGAATTAGACAGCTTTATATTTTAAATTTTTTTATTGTGGTAAAATATGCATAAGACAACATTTTAACCATTTTTAAAAGTGTACGATTCAGTGGCATTAAGTACATTCACAATGTTGTGTAACCATTATTAGTGTCTATTTCCAGAACTTTTTCATCATCCCTATATAGGTTTCCCCTGCTACCCGAAAGTAGACAGTCCTGTGAAGCCTTTCCTAAGCTGAAATGGCACACAGCAAAGAAGCAATTACCGCTAATTTACATGGGAAAAATTGTTGAGTGTTCCCAGACCCAAAAAATAACCTACCAAAATAAATCGAGATAAAGCACAGATGCGCACAGACAGAGGTGACAGCCCTGAGGCTGGATGCTGAGACCCTGAGCGAGGTTCCCGGGGAGGAGCTGGCGGCGCGACTCTCACTGCTGGGGTGCGCCCTGCCTCTATAAGAAGTGGCTGCAAAACAAATGCGCTGAACGCTATTGTTCCCTTCTCTCCTAAAAGGGACGATCCTCTTTGGATTTCTTTCGGTTAGGGTTAGCCGAAACAAGCGCTCAAGTCGGTCTTCCGAGAAAGGGAAGTGTTGTAAAGCGAGCTTTCGGATAGCAGGGGAAACCCGTAACCTGATTTTTTTAAACGGCCTCTTCTACCTATTTGAATGCTATTTTTTTCTATTTTGGGATTCTAAATGGTTGATGTGGCCAATTAACTGACCTTGAGATAAATGCCTTATTACCAGAATCCTCCATAGATGAAATCTTTCAGAAACGTGCTCCCCAGAGTAGTAACACTGAGACAGACTTTTCAATGTAGTGGTCGTGTGGGTAGTTTTAAATCCTCTGAGAAGAGTTAACATCTAAAAGCCTAAAAGCTGCGATTGGGGAATCATTCGGATCCTTTCAGGTCTGGGGGCGAGTTTTACTCTGTCTGCTCAGCGCCTGTTCTCCCGCTTATAGCCTCCACTCCCCTGGCTACAGGGATGATTGCGTGCTCCAGGCTGGGCTGGCACCTCGCTCCCAGGCCAGAGTGTTGGTCCAAGGGATGGGCTCAAGATCCAAACCATGTTCAGAGTTTTTATCTTGGAATTTCTCAAATTTCAATTGAGAGAAGAGGGCCTTTATGTTCATCTCTGGTTTGGGAGCATTTGGGATAGAAATCTGGAGTAGCTGGCAGCCATGTACCCTACTCTGTTAGGTAAGACAGTTTAGGAGAATAAATCTAATATTCAGAGAGAAGCAGAGATGAGAGATGAAGAGAGAGACCCCTTAGAACATTTGATCCTTGGTTTAGATGTCCCTAAGGCCATATCCACTCCTATCCTTTCTGCTGATGGATAATTAATAATCCCCCTCTTTTGTTGAAATTATTTAGAGTTATTTCTGTCCTCATCAATGCAGTAGGATTTATAACTGTAGCCAAACTACATATTTTGATCAGTAATATAGATGCCAGCCAGTCTTGCCACCCTGTGACTTTATGGAATAAACACATGGAGACAGGAAGATAGTGTTTCCCATGTCTACCCATCTACAAGTCCAACCATCTGTCCATCCATACTCCAGCCCCACGGATATTACATATATGTGAATATAAAGCAAAACTTTACATTGCTATAATCTTTTCTGTCTTGTGAAATTCCTACTTATTGTTCAAAGTGGTTAGCACACAATTGTAGGGAACAGAAAGTACTCCGTCCATTTCAAGCAGCAAGAGATTTAGTACAAAGAATTAGGTCCCTACAAAATTGTTGGATGTGCAGGAGGAGTGGGCGCTAGGTTGGGCCTCCAGGAATGACTCTTAGAGCAATACTGTGGAATTGGTCTTCCAGGGAACTTCCACTTCTGCCATGGTCAGGAAGGAGAGGAATCAAGAGACTACCACCAGAACTGCTGACTTCAAAGTAAGAATCAGGAAGCCACTTCGGACCCCTACACAACTATCTAATCACCCATGAAGCTGGTGATTAGGAACCTTCGATCTGCTGGAGAAAATCCCGAAGTCTTTACAACTACTTGCCAGTGGCAGTAGCAGAATTCAGGGAAATGAACTTCTAAATCTTGTGGGTGTATCTAAATGCAGACCATGTTAATTGGGTAAAAGAAACAGAGGTGGAGATAAGCTTGTTCTCTGTACTGGGTAAACTTCATGTTTGCATTTAGTTTTGGGTGGCCTACTTTAAGAGGGGAAGACAAAGGGGCCGGACCAGTGGCACAGCGGTTAAGTTCGCACGTTTCTCTTCTCCATGGCCCGGGGTTTGCTGGTTCGGGTCCCAGGTGCGGACATGGCACCGCTTGGTAAAAGCCATGCTGTGGTAGGCATCCCACGTATAAAGTAGAGGAAGATGGGCATGGATGTTAGCTCAGGGCCAGTCTTCCTCGCAAAAAGAGGAGGATTGGCAGTAGTTAGCTCAGGGCTAATCTTCCTCAAAAAAAAAAAAAAAAAAAAAGAGGGGAAGAGATAAATAACGTATTTGAGGACATGATGACGAAGAGACCAAAAACCATACTATGTAAGGAAAAACTGAAGGATCTGGAGATTTGTAGCTGGGAGAGAGAAAACTCAAGAACGTTATGCCAGCTTTTGCTGGATATTTGAAAGGCTAGTTCTTTCCGGTCCTTAAGAGTAGGATGAAAACTATAGGAGATAGATTTTAATAGACATGAAGAAGCTTCTACTAGGCAGAGCTATGGAATGATTGGGCTGCTCTGGAGTTCTCCATCTCTAGAAGTACCCAACCGTTATTTACATGACCGGGTGATACGGGTGTTGTGGAAAATCTTGTATTTTTAGATACTAGAGACTAGAATTTGTATTCATGATGAAGTTGGTTAATTTTGGCAAAGCCCTTCATTTTCCTCAATTTTCCCAGGTAACTATGTCTATGTTAATGCTAGATTTAGAAAGAAATGGAATAGGAGGAGTCTGAACACAGCATCTCTTTCAGGACCCAAAATAAGATCTTATGTAGGGGAGTGGCTATGAGGCACTCAGGAGAGGGCCAGAACATGGTTGAAATAATCCCTTCAGGGGTTAGAGAGGGATAAGAAACAGCAGTACTTCCCAAAAAAGGATTTTAGGAATATATCCCATATGAGATTTGGGTGGAATTGGGATTTGACTGAGGGGTATAATGGGGTTTGGTATAAATAATTACTAAGTATTGAGCATACTATGTATGTAACATATATCATTTAATACTCACAACATCCTTTTGAGAGATGCTTTTTTTTTTTTAAAAAAAAAGATTGGCACCTGAGCTAACATCTGTTACCAATCTTTTTTTTTTTCTTCTCCTCCCCAAGCCCCCCAGTACATAGTTGTATATTCTAGTTGCAGGTCCTTCTAGTTGTGGCATGTAGGATGCCACCTCAGCATGGCCGGATGAGTGGTGCCATGTCTGCGCCCAGGATTCAAACCAGTAAAACCCTGGGCTGCCGAAGCTGAGTGAGCAAACTTAGCCACTCATCCACGGGGCCAGCCCCCTTGAGAGCTTCTTGATTCACACATGAGGAAAACGAGGCTTAGAAAGGCTAAATGACTTGTCCAACGCAGCAGAGTTACTAAGGGGCAGAGCCAGAATTTGAACCCTCAGGTTCATGCCCATGCATTCCACGACATCGTGCCCCATGTCCAAGTTGGGAAAGAATAAAAATCCAGCTGATAAGACAGGCTAGGCTGTTAACAACCTGATCTACACAGCAGGGCCAAAAGGGTAAGGTAAGGCACATATCGGAACCATCTGGGCAATGCACCACCCATTTTTCTTCCCATAGTCAGAATAACACAGTCAAACCTATATATAGACAAAGAATGCTATTTCTGAGACATCCTTAATAACTAATTTCAGCACCATTTATTCTTGCTACAATTTTTCATCCATAAAATAGAAATAAAAGTAATTGCTCAAAAGGTTATGTGAGGATTCATTGAGATAATGTATATGAAAGTGCTCGCCTAGAGTGTGGTTGCTAAATAGAGGGGAGTCGACTCTGAGTTCCCAGACCAGGATTTGTTTTGCTTTTAATGACATTCTCAGTCTTAGACCGTCTGGTCAGTTAGAAGGACAACTGAAGAAGAGACAGTCTTGAATTCTGGGGAGTCTTGTACCAAGAAAAAGAATTTCACTTGCAAAATGTTATCTGAGTCTACCTGTGGTTCTATTCAAACAGGCAGGGGACGTAGGGACTTTAGCTTGTATTCAGTGACTCCAATTTAAGGTCAGGTTAAAACATGTGAGCATAAGGCCAAGTGATGTAGTTTTCTGTACAGTCACTATTTTCACAGAAGAGTAGGCAGCTGCTTATGTGATGTGATCTGAAAGGCCTTCTGTCCTCAAATCTCTCCTCTTTCAATCAGACGTAGAATCTGAAATTCCGTTCTGAGAAATCTATCCTGGGTTAAAGCAGCACTTCTCAAACTTTGCTATGTATCAAGAATCACCTGAAGAATTGATTTAAAATATTGGCCCTGGGACTACTGAGTCAGACTCCGGGGGTTGGGGCTCAGGCAACTGTTATCAACCAGATGAGTCTAATACACAAGAAAGTTTGCGAAATGCCAGATCAAGGCATTATATAGGTGCCAGGCTGGTGGCGCAGCAGTTAAGTTCATGCGCTCAGCTTCAGCCGCCCGGGGTTCGCTGGTTCAGATCCTGGGTATGGACATGGCACCGCTTATCAAGCCATGCTGTGGCAGGCATCCCACATATAAAATAGAGGAAGATGGGCACAGATGTTCGCTCAGGGCCAATCTTCCTCAGCAAAAAGAGGAGGATTGGCAGCAGGTGTTAGTTCAGGGCTGATCTTTCTCAAAGGAAAAAAAGAAAGAAGGCATTATATCTATGTAAGTCCCCCATTACATTGCAAGTTTTCTCTCAGGGAGGTTGCCATGGTTCTCAAATTACAGCTTCTACCTCATTCTACTAAAACTGTTCTTGTCAATATCATCAGTAAGCTCTTTGTTGTCAACTCTAATGGATTCTTTTTGGTCCTCATGTATTATGGTACCTCTTCTCGGCATTTGATGCTGTTTACTATTCCTCCTCTCTTCGTCGCTGAGACACCAATCTCTCTGTGTTTTCTGCCTTACCTCGCTGACGGATCCTCAGTCTCCTTTGCTGGCTTGTCCTCCTCCATTGAACTCTTCATATGGAGCTTCCGTCAGGGCTTGTAGCCAGACCCTCTGCTCTTCTCTGTATACTTACTTCCTGGACTTAAATATCTAATGGCCAGCACATTTCCAAATTTTTACCTCCTACTACTCTTCTCTCTTGAGCTCCAGTGTTGCGCTGCCAACCACCTACTTGATAGATCCACTTGGCTATCTTATGATTATCTTAAACTCAACATGTTGAAAGTGATCCCCTCGAACTCTCCCCAGCCCCCTGCCAACTTTCTCTAATCTGCACTTCTCAGGAAGTGGTAACATCGTCCACCCAGTCACTCAAATTAGAACCCAGAAGTCAGATTTCTCCCTCCTCACCCATATCTGCTTCATCAGTAAGTCATGTCAATATCCTCCCAAATGATTCTCGAGTCTTCCCATCTCTCTATTTCCCGTGACCACTATCCAGCAAGTCAACCTCCTTTTTCCCAGAATTCTTCCTGGGATCCCTGCTTCATCTCTTACCCCTTTTACATCATTCTCAAGGACACCAGAGAATTCTTTTAAATAAGTCAAAACATAAAAACATAAATCAGACCATTAATTTCTCAAACTATTCGGTGGCTTCCCACTGCATTTAGAATAAAATTGATTCCTCACCTGGGTCTCTGAGGCACCCACTAATTTCTTCCTCCTCTTGGTCTATAAGGCTCTGTATCTGCTGGCTCACCACACTTCTCACAGTGTTCCAGACACACTGCCCTTCTTTAAATTCCTCAAATGCTCCAAATCGTTCTCCTCCTCAGGGCCTTTGCTCTGTTCCTTCTGCCTGGAATGATCTTCACCTCCATGACCGGTTCTTTCTCATCCTTCAGAGCTTAGTTTCAGTCTCACCTTCTGTAGCCACTCTCCCTAAGTAGGTATTCTCTGTTATTCTCCATGAAAATGTTAAAAGAAAACATAAGAGAATATTTTAATTTTCTGGAAGTTTGAAAAAGTTTTCCAAGCATGGCATGAAACCTAGAAACCATAAAGATAAAAATTGATGGATTTGACTAAATTAAGCATTTAACATTTCTGTATTTCAGAACTGAAAGGTGGAAAATGCACTGGGAAAAGTCTTTGCAAAGTATTCTAAGAAATTATTCTTTTTAAGATTTTAGTTTTCCTTTTTCTCCCAAAGCCTCCTGGTACATAGCTATGTATTTTTTAGTTGTGGGTCCTTCAAGTTGTGGCATGTGGGATGCTGCCTCAGCATGGCTTGATGAGCAGTGCCCTGTCTGCGCCCAGGATTTGAACCGGCGAAACCCTGGGCCGCTGAAGTGGAGCATGAGAACTTAACCACGTGGCCTTGGGGCTGGCCCCAGAAATTTTTTTAAATCAATAAGAAAAGATAAGTAAATCAATAGAAAAATGGGCAAAAGATACAACTTATAGAAGAAAAATAAAAAATAGCCAGTAAAAATATTCTAAGAAATATGCTTAACTTTACTCTTAAAAACATCAGATTTTTATCCTGTTGAATTAGCAAGAATTAAAAAGATTTACAAATACTCAGGTCAGATGTGTGTGCAAGCAGTTAACTTTCATACAGTAATGTCAAAAATAACAGTTAACTTTCTTAGATGCATTGTAAATTAGTGTAACATTTTTGTTAAACGATTTGGCCACATTTATTGAAATTTAGAATGTGCCTTACCTTTGACCCAACACTGTTTTGAATTAGAAATTTTAGGAACTCACCCTAAAACAATACTTTCACAATGTGCATATATATTCATATTCATATACATTCACATACATATTTAGTATATTCATATATGATACATATTTACATATCAATATATGTTTAGCTTGGCATTGTTTTAATAAAAAAACTGGAAACCATCTGATTATGCAATTAAATAATTATACGTTCATACAAAGAAATATTATGCAGCTGTTAAAAAGAACAATGTGGATTTATATATTCCATTTTGGAAAGATATGCTTTGATATATTGTTAAATTGAACAGATTTAAAACTGAATGGAATGTGTAGTAAGGTCTCATTTTTTAAAATAAAGATTCAAGTATTTATAAATTGCATAAATATGTTCAGGCATGCATGGGAAAATAAGAAAATGACTGAAAATCTTAACCATGACTGTATTTGGGAAACTGGATTTTCA